GATTTTACCGATTCGATTTTACGATTCCGATTTCACCTAACCAAAACGATTTTAGGTAAAATCTCGATTTTGACAACCTTGGTTAAAACTTCTTCATTACCGTTTATGTAATAGTAATATTATTTATGGTTTATTAAATATAAAATTTTCAAACTCATAACAAATATTTATATCTAATTCAATTTGATTGATTTAACTCAAATTGATCTAAATCAATTAAAAATTAAATTAAATTGATATAAAATTACGTTAATTTGAATTATAAAAACTTAAAATTAATATAATTAATATAATTTATGATTTTACCTTTAATCTGTATAAAATGTTTGATTACAAGATAAAACCTAATAAGATAACTTAATTAAATAATATAATATATATTTTTTAGTGTTAATTTTTTTTTTAATTTCAAAAGATAATAACTCCATAAAGTTTGTTAAAAAATAGAAATAGAGCATTTCTATATTTCCTAATTTATTTATTTTTCAAATTGTATACTTTATCCCTAATTTACTTGCAACTTTAGCTCCCGGTAATTAGTTGTGACTTTTTTTTAGAATCTTAAAATTTTAATTTGTTTCTAAAATGATATTTTAATTCTCGTAACTAAATCTTAAAGAAGTATTATTTTAAAATTTTTAAAACTTCATAATAGAACTAGTCTTCACTATTCATGAATGTTTGGTTAAGGAGTTTTAAATTTTAATTATAAATGTTTCTAATTAATTTTAGTGATATTCATTTTAAATTTTATTTTTTTTAATATGATTTGAAAGATGAGATTGAATAATTAGTGTATTAAGAAAAAAACTAACTTTAAATAAGAATTATTTGCATTATACTGAAAATTTAGAATTAGCTTTTATTTTCAAATATTTTCAATCTTTACAATTGTAATTAAGTATAGGAACTTGTTTATAATTTATGTTTTTTACATGATTTTAAATTTTTTTTACATTATTTCATATATTTAGTAGTATAAAAAATTGATTAATTTGACTAAACCACACCAATCTAATTTAAATTAAATTGATTTGATTATCATATAATAATAAACTATATTGATTTAAACATTTACTCACTATTAAATTGAATTGAATTAAAGAATATTAAAATTCAAACCTAACTACAGTGCAAAAACCCTTATCTAACATTATATAGAATAGAAGATAACGATATTATTAAATGGAATTAGTATTTATTTGTTTTATATTTTAAAAAATTTTAAAAAAATTATTTAAAAGTTATATTATTTTAATAAAAAATTATTATAAAAAATAAAAATAATATAATTTATATTTTAAAAATAAAATGTTTAATTAAAGTTTATTAAAAGAATATAATTTTAGAGTTTTTTTTTTTTATTAATTTGTAGGAAAGAAAGCTGAAAAATACGACAATTTTTTGATTAAACGGTATGGTTTGATATTTACTCGGGACGTGGCTGGGCCCTTATTTGGAGCCTCCACTGGACTCTCGCCGTTGGCCGTCGCTGCATGCGAAAGATATTCCGCGGCAATCACGTAACTCCTCCAGCCGTCTCCAGGTCTCGAAGGGAACGATCTCTGAAACTGTTCGAGGTAATTTTCTTTTGTTATTCGCCTCTAATGCCGAGATTTTAGGCTAATTTGCTTGATGGGGTTTTAGGTTTTAGGGTTTCTGAGCAAGTTTAAGATTACAAACACAATAGAACTATATCTTCGGTTTCTGTTCTCATTTTAGTGTTAATATTTTTATTTGGTTGCCAAGAAAACTAATTCAAGACCTCGATTTTCATATTCTATGCTCTCTTATTACGACAAAGAATGTCAAATTTCAGTTTCGTGGGATATCTTACTTTTTTTCCCCCTAATTTGCAGTAGAGGGTGAAAAATCAAAGACCTAAAATCATTAACTTGATTTTTCAGTTTCATGCTGTTGAATTTTTTATTTATTCTGGTTTCATATTAGGTTTTTGAAGAAGGATTTTATCTCCGTGATCATAAACGTTTGGGTGGGTTTTGAGGAGGAAAGTGAGATGCAGAACCATAACCATTCAAAGGTTAAATGTACATCAACATCTCATCAGATTATGATGGCCAATGCCAAGAGCCGGCTTAATGATCTCCAAGAAAGGTTTGCTGATCTTCAAACTGCTAGGAAGGAGGGGCGAGCCGCAGATGTGGCAGTGCTGGAGGAGCAAATGTATCAGAGTCTTCGTGAGTGGAAAGCTGAGCTCAATGTGCCATCACCGGCTTCGTCTTTACTTGTTGGTATCTAATTTCTACATTCATTGATGTATAGTTTTTTTATACTTTTCTTTAATGACTTGTGTTGAATTTTATGAAAATAGTGAACTGTCCTCTTTAGCCAGAAATGAAGTGACCTTTGATGGGTCTTAAGAATATTTTGATGGTTGTTCTGCAGGAAGCTAGTCTTGGATTCTCAGATGATATAGATCGTTTGTTGCAATTGTACGAGGAGGAAGATGATGCCACCAGTGCATTGGCAGCACCTGCAGAGTTCAAACCTGAAACTGATGTCCGCAGCATAGATCCCTGTAATGTAAATGTCATTCCAGAGGTGGGAAACCAAAATCTCTGATGTGATGTATTTTTTTCCTGTGTACATTGGTTTTATTGTTAAATTAGGAAAAGGAATATATTCTTTTTGTGTTAGTATACTGCATATAACACTTGGGCACTGTTCTAAAAATATAGGAAATTAAATTTTGAAACAACATTTTACATTTGGGTCTGCAAAAAAAATGACTTCTCTCAGGTAGAAATTGTGCAAAATTTAAGCTCTCAAATTGGTAAATTCTTACCATAATCTATTCTCGATGAGTGGAATGTGCATATTTAAGGCACATCCATTGGTTGATTTTTTTGGAGGTTTGACATTACTTGGCATAGGGAAATTGTTTATCCTGGTTCTGGCTCATGATATATTCATTTTGCATGTGTAACTTATTTTTGAGTGATGATATTTGATTTTGTTTTTGGATCTTAAGAAAGAAAGCTTGTGTTGCCATTGGTTTTATATTTTTCATATGTTTTTGAAATACCTAGACAGTTTCACCATTATCTACTGTCAGTCATTTGAATGAAAAGGTGTACCTAGTAGTAATTGATAGATTGAATACTCTCAGTTGCAGGACTATTTAGTGAATAATGAGGCACAGGAATATGGTTTTCAAGGGTTTGATCCATGTAAAGGAACTGTGTTGGCTTTACACACGGCAGTGCTTAGCAACTCAGATTTAGCTTCTCAGTTCAATTATCATCAATTAAGCTTTCGTCAAGAATTCAACCCCGAGCTTCAGGTTGGAGCTTATTGTGCTGAACAGTGTAGAAGGGATGCTGGACCCCACATTTTTCCAAATATCTCCCCTCCACCATCTGCTTTTATGGGGCCAAAATGTGCTCTCTGGGATTGCACGAGGCCTGCTCAAGGATCTGAATCTTATGAGGATTATTGCAGCAGCTTTCATGCTACATTAGCTCTGAATGAAGACCGTCCTGGTATGACTCCAATTTTACGTCCCGGAGGAATAAGTTTGAAGGATAATTTACTAATTGAGGCTCTTCAGGCAAAGACACAGGGTAAGAATGTTGGTATTCCTCAATGTGAAGGGGCTGCTACTGAGAAATCTCCATGGAATGCCATTGGTAAGAAAGCTTAGTTTTCTCTCTTTTCCTTTGTGGCTACTTTCTTTATGCCTTGAAACAATGGTTGTTATATTAGATATTGTGCAGTTTTTTATGTGTAATGTTTGCTCTTTGACATGCGAGCTACATTACTTGTTGTGGCTGATTGGCTGTCTTTGTATCACAGCACTGTTTGATATTTGCTTACTTGAGAGGGAAACAATCCGAGAATGGCTTTTCTTTGATAAACCTAGGAGAGCATTTGAGAGTGGGAACAGAAAGCAGAGGTCATTGCCTGATTACTCTGGACGGGGTTGGCATGAATCAAGGAAGCAGGTGATGAAGGAATTAGGGGGGCAAAAGAGGTCATATTACATGGACCCACAACCTTCAGGGGGTTTTGAGTGGCATTTATATGAATATGAGCTTGATGGATGTAACACGTGTGCCTTATATAGAATGGAATTCAAGCATGTTGATGAGAAGAAGAAGAGTCCAAAGGGGAAAGTTATAAAGGACCCACTTGTGGATCTGCAGAAGAAGATGGGAAGGCTTACTGCTGAGGCCCCTGGAGATGATAGGACCCCCATCAAGGGCAGGGCAAAGCCCAATAGAAAAGGTGCCCCTGAAATTGTTAATTCTAGTGGAGATTATATGGCTTCTACTACTGAAAAGCTGAATTGTGATTTGAAGAGTTCTGCTGAGAAATGAACTTGCTATTATCACACATGATTGAGCAATTTCTTGGGTAATTTGACTTTTGAGATTGGCATCCTATGTTTAGTATGCTGTTGATAGATTCATCTATGGACAGGGCTGCTATGTTAAAATGTTGGTAAGTTAGCATTTTCCTGGATTATCAAGTCGTCATTTGCTACTGGGCCTTATTTTACACATGCTGGCATCATGTGAGTTGCATTTTGCATCTTGCATTTTCTTTCTATACTCTGGCAGTGCTGTTAAATGCACCTAGATAGTGTACAGTGTCATTGACTACACCTACATCAGAAACTTCACATGCTGAAGCAAATTCTAACCTGTAAAATGGTGTACATAAAAGGCTTTGATGTTTGTAAATTCATTTTGTCAACTTCAAGTGTTTATCTCTGTGCTGGATTTTTTTATCCTTGTAATTATATTCATTCAGAAGGCTGGATTTCCCATCTGTTCCTGATCTTGTCGGTTTTCATTTTTATTCTATAATTTTATTGCACAACCCCATTTGGATGTAACACCTAACTTCACGTGAAGTCTGTTTTTATCATTTTTAATAGCATTGGAATCCTCACATTGAGTTGGAATTGTTTAAAGATATAATTTAAAGGATAAGATAGAATTGGGTTGGATGGAATAAGGTATATTGAAATTCAATGAAATGTGTGGTTGATTATTTAGAGTGGGATTAGATATAAAAGTTTATTTGCATGAACAAAAATATCATTACATTATAATTAAATGTGTGAAATAAATGGATGGGATCCCAACGATTGTTCTAGCACTTTCAAGGCAATAATTAATATTTTTATACAATAAAAGATAATTTTTACTTTCACATAATTTCTTTTATTTATCTTAATATTTAAATTTAAATTTTTTAACTTAAAATTTTTAATTTAAAATCTCAAGTTCCTTATCATTTGGCGCACCCCTTGAGGGCAATAATTTCATGTAATGTATACTGTCAATGTGAATCATGTGATTCAGGCAAGTTGAGTATATAATAGCCAAAAAAAAAAAAAAAAAAAAAAAGGGGCCAGTTGAGTATAGTATGGCCAGAAAATAAAAAACCAAGTTGAGAATATAATGGCCAAAAAAGGCAAATTGAGTATATAACGGCAAAACAAAAGCAAGTTGAGTATATAACGGCCAAAAAACAAAAGCAAATTGAATCTATTAGGTAAGTTGAGCATAAGTTGAGGCCACGTTGGTTGAGGATCAGCTAAGATGGATGTAGCTAATAATGGAGAGCAATACAGTGAGCTGCTTCAAGCTGAAGCTCATGAATGGAATCACATTTTCAACTTCATAAACCTCATGCGTCTAAATTGTGCCGTTGATTTGAGAATCCCAAGTATCATTCACAGCAACGGCCGTCTCATGACTGCCCCAGACAGGGAAGGAACCACTCCCTAAACTTTTGAAAAATTTTAAATATGGTACATTAATTTTTTTTTGAGTTTTTCAATTATTGGGACTATTTTAAATACAAAGAAAATATTTACGATTCAAATAAAGAAATCATTTACGTTTTGGTGATAATTTGGTCTAACTAAGAAAAAGCATTAAAAATAGTTAAGATGTAATTAATTATATTGAAATAACTTATATAAGTTTTTACATTAATTATATATAATTTTTTTTGTACAATTTATATTTTATGAAAATAATGGTTGAATTTATTCTATTAATATAAATCATACATTTTAAATTTAAAGTTGTTTTGATATAATAACTATTCTAAAGAACAAACTATATTTTTATACTATTTATTTAAGGATTTCAAAGTATATATAATTCAAAAATCTAAATATATGTAATTTTCTTGATAAAGCTAAATATATCTAATTAATTTAAAGTTTCACATGTATAATTGAAGCGGTACACGAGTAAAATTAGTGACTAATATAGAAACTAGTATAAATTATACTAATATAAACTAATAAATAACTCACAAAAAAATTTTAACTTTTTGCATCTCCTAACTTGAATTTCTGGCTCTATCCATTGTCTTAGAGCTTGTTGCTACATTTCATCCAGAGTCTCACGCATATTCTGGTTCACTCTGGCTTCTTCACATGGTAGAAGGTAGGGAAGAACAGCAAAGAAGACGGCTATTTTCTCGCCCATTCCTCTCACCTCCTCCTCAATAATGAGCCCATGAGTGCAATCCCTTTCGTAAACGCAATGCTTGAGCCCCTTTTGACAAAGCGTTGGTATTGTTTAGCCTCTTGGCTCCAAAATGACAACGATGTTAACGCTTTCACCACAGAACATGGAACCATTTTTTGGAAATATACTAACTGTGAGCCAAAGTCTAGCCATTTCTTTAATGATGCAATGGCTAGCAATTCTTGATTGGTTAGCAGAGTGCTAATTGACAAGCACAAAATTGTCTTCGAGGGATTGAGCTCATTAGTGGATGTATGAGGAGGGACAGGAACTCTGGCCAAGGCGGCGACTGATGCATTTCCACGCTTGGACTGCACTGTGTTGATCTTCCTCATGTTGTGGCAAGCCTACAGGGCAAGAAAAACTTGAAGTGCATCACAGGAGACATTTTCGATGAAATTCCACCAACAAATGCAATGTTACTAAAGGTATGTGCATTAAATGTCAAACTTCTTCAAATTGTCAAAAATCAAAACTATATATAATACCATTTTTTTTTTTTGCTCAATTTAACATATATTTGTTCTATGACAGTGGATTCTACATGATTGGAGTGATGGAGAATGTTTGAAAATACTTAAGCACTGCAAAGAGGCTATAAAGAAGAATTAGCAGGGTAGTGGGAAGGTGATCATAGTAGAAATGGTGAGGATGGATGATGGAGATGAGGAGTTGACTAAAATGCAGCTTTTCTTCGACATGCTGATGATGGTGGTGACTAAAGGGAACGAGAGGAATGAGGAAGAAATTTCTAAACTTCTTTAAGAAGATGGTTTTAGTGGCCATAAGTTACTTCCTATATTAGGTGTAAGGTCTCCCATTAGGTTTACCCTTAAAAAACATCATGTTTTGATCATATTTTTAGGCCACAAATTGCAATAATTCCGTGCCTGCATATGATTCTAATACAGAATACATAATAATTTACTATCTTTTTAGAGTAATTGATTCTTGGGATCAAATTTAAGATGAAATTATTTTAATAGTTTATAATGTAAGTCGATATAAGAGGACCACATCATAATCAATAATTTTTTATAAATTTATCTTAAAATTTAGTCCTATCATTAGTCATGTTTTTTTTTGGAAGCACCAAATTTCAAATTTTTTTCCTCTTTGATTATGATTAGGACAAATATATACCATAATCTTAATTTAATAAAATTTTCTTGTGTATAATTTGGTTTGTTTTTATCTCTCACAAATTGTAACAATTCCCACTACATATAATTCTAACACATAATAAATACTCATTTTGTTCATTTTTAATAGATCTAATTTGAGTTTTTGACTTTTAGGACATGAATTTTAAATAAAAATTTAACAATCTATATGAATAACAATTAAATTTTTTTTATCAAATAAAAATACTTAACAAGAACTATATATGAACAAAAAAAAAAAAATTAATTGTTGTTTACATAAATGCTTAAATTTCATCTTAAATTTATGTCTTAAAAGTCAAAAATCAAACTAGATCTATTAAAAATAAACAAAGAGAGTAGTGTAATATGTTTTTTGAGTAATGACTTTACTAATTTTTAGAACTAAATTATTTCAACAATTGATTACATGGGTCTATATGCAGCCCATACCGTGATCCATAGTTTCGTAAATTCATCCTAAAATTTAGTTCAAACTATTATTATTCTTGTTTTCATTTTACAAAAATGGTATAGTTTCAATGCCATATGGTATTGTAAGCGTACAATATAATATGTTATTATATAATTAGTTTTTTTCATTTAGGGTTCACATATAATATTGCATGCATCTACTCATTTAATGTTATATCATATTTTATTAAATGTCGCATAAGATAATAAATTTACAATCCTATGTGACATTGTAAATATAGTATTATCGTTTATTTAAGTCTATTAAGTTATTGGGAGAATCAATCATGTTGATTCTTATAAAATAATCAAATCATGCATTATATTTTTTACTTAATTTGTAAATTATATTTATTATAGGTAAATGATTGGTGCACCTTTTGATTCAACACATTTCAAAACACACTCACTAAGAAATTATTGTTGTCGAATATGAATTCAAGGTGAGAAAAATTGTACATGCAAAATTTAATGGCAAAATCAGTAGGTGTTACTAAGTGTGTTGAACTGAAGGGTATACCAATCATTATCTTTTATTATATTTAAATGTAAGTGATTTATTTTCATATTATTTATTTAATAGTGTCTTCTCTAGTAGAAATTTTGCAAAATTTAAGCTATCAAATCGATAAATTCCTTTTCTTCTTGATGAAAAAAAATGAAAAGCTTAAGGGGGTAAAATAGGTTATATTTATGGACCCACAACCTTGAGTATGTTTTGAGTGGCATTTATTTGCATATAAGCTTGATGGATGGAACTCTTGTGTTATATTGGATACAATTCAAGTGTGTTGATGAGAAGAAGGGTCTAAGGGGAAAGGAATAAATTAAGGATCAACACCTACTTGTGGATCTATAGAAGAAGATAGGAAGGGTTATTGTTGGGGTCCTTGAAGATGATGGGACCATTGTCAAGGGCAGTGCAAAGGCCAATAGAAAAGGTGGCCGTAAAATTGTTAATTCAAGTGGAGATTATATGGCTTCTACTATTGAAAAGCTGAATTATGAATATTTGAAGAATTCTATTGAGAAATGACCTAGCTACTTTTGCGAATAATCGAGTAACTAGTTTCTTAGGTAATTTTACTTTTGAGATTGACATCCTACATTTAGTATACTATAGATATAGATTTACCTATGCATAGGGCTACTATGGCAAAATGTTTGTAAGTTAGCATTTTCCTTAGTTATCAATTTGTCATTTGCAGTTGGACCACATTTTACATGTGTCGACATCTTGTGAGTTGCATTTTGCACCCTGCATTATCTTTCTCTATCCTAGTGGTGCTATTACATGCACCTAGATAATGTACAATGTCAATTACCATACTACACCTAAAATTTCACATATCGAAGCAAATTCTAACATGCAAAATAGCATACATAAAAGGCATTGATTTTCTAGATTCATTTTGTTATCTTGCAACTATTGTGATATGATTCAAAAAACAAAATAGGATTGAATTGGATGGAATAAGATGTATTCAAATTTAATAACAGATTTAACTAATTATTAAGCTAAAGTAAGCTTCTATTATTGAAAAGCTGAATTATGAATATTTGAAGAGTTCTACTGAGAAATGATCTACTTATTTTCACAAATAATCGAGTAGTTAATTTCTTAGGTAATTTTACTTTTGAGATTTACATCCTACATTTAGTATATGGCAGATATAGATTCACCTATGTACAAGGTTGTTATGTTAAAATGTTGTTAAGTTAGCATTTTCCTTAGTTATCGATTCTTCATTTGTGGCTAAACCTCATTTTACATATGCAAACATCTTGTGAGTTGCATTTTGCACCTTACATTATCTTTCGATATCTTGGTGGTGCTGTTAAATGCACTTAGATAGTGTATAGTATCAATGACCATACTACATTTGAAACTTAACATATTAATATTGAAGCAAATTCTAACCTGCCAAAAAGTATACATAAAAGGCATTGATTTTCTAGATTTATTTTGTTATCTTATAGTTATTGTGATATGATTCAAAAAATAAAGGAGGATTGAATTAGATGGAATAAGATATATTCAAATTCAACAGCAGATTTGATTGATTATTGATTTAAGGTGGGTTTTTACTACTGAAAAGCTAAATTATGAATATTTGAAGAGTTTTGTTGAGAAATGACCTAACTATTTTCGCAAATAATTGAGTAGTTAGTTTCTTAGGTAATTTTACTTTAGAGATTGACATCTTACATTTAGTATATTATAGATGTAGATTCACCTATGTACAGGGCTACCGTTGCAAAATGTTGGTAAGTTAGCATTTTTCTCAGTTATTAATTTGTTATTTGCAACTAAACCACATTTTACATATGCCAACATCATGTGAGTCACATTTGCACCTTGCATTATCTTTCTATATCATGGTAGTGTTGTTAAATGCACCTATATAGTTTATAGTGTCAATGACCATGCTACATCTGAAACTTCACATATTGAAGCAAATTCTAACCTACAAAAAATTGTACATAAAAGGCATTGATTTTCTAAATTCATTTTGTTATCTTGCTACCATTGCCATATGATTGAAAAAATAAAATAAGATTGAATGGGATGGAATAAGATGTATTCAAATTCAATAACACGTTTGATTAATTATTGAGCTAAATTGAGTTTCTACTATTGAAAAAGAGTTTTGCTGAGAAATGACCTAGCTATTTGACAAATAATTGAGTAGCTAGTTTCTTAGGTAATTTTACTTTAGAGATTGACATCGTACATTTAGTATATTGTAGATATAGATTCACCTATGTAGGAGGCTATTGTCTCAAAATATTGGTAAGTTAGCATTTTCCTCAATTATTAATTCTTAATTTGTGACTGGATCTCATTTTACATGTGCCGACATAATGTGAGTTGCATTTTGCACCTTGCATTATCTTTCTATATCTTGGTGGTTCTGTTAAATGTATCTGGATAGGGTACAGTGTTAATGACCATGCTACATTTGACACTTCATATATTGAAGCAAATTTTAACTTGCAAAAAAGTGTACATAAAAGACATTGATTTTTTAAATTCATTTTGTTATCTTGCAACCATTACAATGTGATTCAAAAAATAAATTAGGATTGAATTGGATAGAATAAGATGTATTTAACTTCAATAACAGTTTTGACTGATAATTGAGCTAAAGTGAGATTAGATATAAGTATTTATTTGCATGAACAAAAGTGTCCTTAAACCTTACATCATCATCATCATCATCATAATGATTATTATTATTATTATTATTATTATTATTATTTATAAAGAGAAATAATTTTATTAGTTAGGAAAATGGAATTGTTACATATAGCACGAAATAATGATATATACCAGATTCCTTCCCAAGGGGGATTGGGGATTGGCATCTTTGCAACCTTATGAGCTAGCTCATGTGAAATCCTTTGTACATGTTTAAAAGTGCAGGAGTGAAATGCTTTGAGACTCGCATGCAAGCCAGCGGCCACGGCATTGGAGGGTAGATAAATGTCCTCCGCCAACTCAACCACCTGAATTGGTTGTAAACAGTAGTGGAGCTAGCCTAGGATTTTATCTTAGAGGGGCCAACTGTAATACTAAAATGAAGAAAATTAGATAATTAAATTTTATATTTGCTTAGTGAACGTCAAAGAAGTTGTGTTCTGTTAGAATTTTGACTTGTAAATGAGTCTAAAACTCACTTTTACGAAAATTAAAATTATACACCTTCAATATATAAAAATTATCTAAAATATATTGTTAACAGTAAAAAATAAGATAGATGGTGTGGAACTAATATCTTTGTTGATAAAGAGAGTTTACAATGAAGAGAGAATGATGATGATAAATAATCTACCTCCTTAGGTTGATCCTAGAGGTATTTATAGGATGCTTAAATACAATTATTCTAGGAATACAATTTTATTTAATTGGTGTTTGGGGTATTCTTGTTCTAGTGGGATTTATCCTAGTTGACTTTGATAAGACTATCTCTAGAATGTCTCCACATGTCCTAATTCTCATGGGACTTGATTTAGGGTATAACATTTGCCCCCCAATGAAGAAATTTGAGGGTAGTGAAAACTTCAACGGGTGTCTGTCTTTCTTATTACTCTGCTGATCTTGGTTTTGAATTCTACGTAGGTTCCCACTTTTTCAACTGTGACTGCCTCGTTAAAAACCTTAACTAGAAAAAACCTTGTGGGATAAAAAATCTAGCTTAAGGAAAAAAGAGTGCAACATAGGTTTTTCCTTCATAATTCCTGGCACAGTTTCCTCATTAAAAAATTTTTGTTGAAATTAATTGTCTTGCAAATTTGTGCTGATTTGTTCAGGTCCTTTCTTGATTTTTTCATATCTCCACAGCTGCATTTCCTGGATTTTCTACTTCTTGGCAACCTTTTTTTATGCACATGGCCCCCATTGTATGGTTTATTGGTATGGTAGGTCCTTCCTAGTTCAAACTCCTATTTCCTTGGGATTTTATGCAATTTATCCTTTTGGCTTTCAAATGGGGCTTTCTTGGGTTTCTCGATTCTTCTTTTTCTTTTTTGTTTGACTTCCTTTTTCACTTCGGTTTCCTTTTTGTTTTCTTTCTTTATTTTTTCTTTTTGCTTTTTCGGTTTTTTCTTTCTGCGGATAGGCCTTTCTAATTCAGTGCTAGGTCGGTTGCTTTTTTGGTTTCTTCTTTCTGCAGGTAGACCCTTTCTGACTTGGTGTTGCGTTGGTTGCGCCTACCATGGCTACTGATCCTTCTGCTTCTAGCTTTTTGTTGATTTTGGCTTTTGTTGATGGCGTGGGTACTCCACTTTCTTCTTCTTTGTCTGAGTTTTTTGATGTTTTCTACCTTCCCTATAATGTAGATGGGAAGTTTGTTGTGAAAAGTGCTTCATGCCACATAGAGAGGGATCCTATGATTCCTTCTATCCTTAGAGGTTCCTTTGGTTTTCTTCTTTAGAGGGTGGAAAGGTTGTCTTCCCTTTAGGCTCAGCAAAGGTGTTTTGTGATCTTGACAAGGTGTCTTGGGTCACCAGTAGTTTTGATGTGAATGAGATTTATAAAGAGAATCTTGATGGATTCATAGGTTTTTCCTCAGTATCCTATGCGTTGCGCAACATTTCAATGCCTTCCTTCTGATATGTGTGTCTACAAGGATCGATTTGCATACAGGTTGCATTTTCTTTTGCATCATTTTATCCTTAAAATCTATGATGGATTTTCCATTAGTCTACCCCAATTGGTTCCTCATGCTATTGCTTATATTGTTGCCTTTATTGTGAGATGTTTCCTTCTCAGGATTACACCTACCTGTGAGCTTTTTTGTTTCTTTTTTCACTTAAAAACTACTGAGCCCACTGGTAGTTGGTATTACTTTTCTCGTAGAGTGCTAGAGTTTCAAGGTGTGGATGATAAAAAACATCGTTGGCGTAATACTATCTTTATGGACCCCTTGCCTGGTTATGATTCCAATAATTGGCATAAGAGGTTTTTCTTTCTAAGTGCCCTAAGGATGCTGATTTTCCTTCTCTCTAACGGGTCCCTCGGACTATTATTGCAAGGTTCTGCTTTTGGTAAATGATTATAAGGCTGTCCATAAGTTTGTTACCAAATCATCTATGAGTATTGCAGAATTGATTGTTCGTGACAATTTGATTGAGGCGAGTATCTGGGTTCCTGGTTCTTGTGACTCTTACTCTAATTTTCCTATTCCTCTTGTTCCTTCTAGCTTTAGGCTTCTCTGAAGCCTGAACAATCCTTAAAATGGAAAACTGGTGATGGGAGTCCAGCTGCTACTCCTAGTTCTTTTCTTGGTTTTGCTAGTATCTTTTTACCTTCTACTTGGCTTTTCTTGATATTTTCTTATTTTTTCTCTTCTAGTTATATTTATTTTGTATGTTTTAGGTGGCATAAATACCTTAGCTATTTTGAGTTGTTCTACCAAGATTGAAAAGCTCAAGAAGGTTGATAGAGCTGTGAAGACCGAGAAAATATTGGCTGAGAAAGTTGAAAAGGCTGCTAGTAAGTCTAAGGGGGTTGTTCCTCAAGGGGCGCCTCCTGTTGTGAGGAGGTCTAAGAGATTGAAAAGTGCTTCTTTTAAAGTAGCTTCCGCGAGTGGTTCTGATAAGGGTGTGGCGGAGGGTTGTGTTATTGAGGTTGATAAGGAGGCTCTTTCTTTTGTTTTTCCTAATGATGAGTTGCAATAGTTTTCTTCAGAGGGGAGACTCTTGATTTCTTCTTTTATAGACTTTATTGTTGGGAAAAGCTTTTCTAAACCTTTGACGAGGTCGCCTTTGAAAGATGCCGTCCGCCCTAGTATGTATTTCTTCTTATTGTGCTCATGTCAATTTCCTTTCTCTGTTAGTTATTGTATCTTCCTTCTTGTGTAGGTTATGATATCGGTATTGAGGGTCCTTCCATCATTGGGCATAGTTCCATTGCCTGTGAATCTTCGAAATCCATGCTGTTGGCTGGTGATAAAAAAATTACTTTCAAATTTTCCTTCAAGGGCTCTTCATGACATGGCCGTTCATCATTCTGCTAGTGTATGTGTCTTTCCTTCTTTTCTGTGGTTTGACCCATTGTTTTTGTGCTATTTTCTCTTTAATGTCTTTCTTTGCTCTTGTGTTTTAGGTTTGTGCTGTACTACAGCATATGAAAGAAATTCTCCTAGATAAGGAAGATTTGTCTTACTGTGTTATTACTGATTTGTTTGAGATGCGGGAGAGGAGCAAGGATTACTAAACTTGTGTCGCCAGCTCCACTTTGAGAAAACAGCATTGGGAGCTAATTCTAGCGAAGTTGAGAGGTTGAAGAAAGAGCTAATTATGCTCCAAGAATGTTATGATTTGTTGAAGAAAGAGAAAGAACTTTTCTCTTCTTCTGTTGCTGCTAAAAAAGTGTCTTTGGAGTCCTTTATTTTGGCTCTACAACGACGGTTGGGTGATCTCTCTTCTGCGAATTTTGCTTTGGAGAGGTCCGTCTTGGATCTAAGGGTGCAGGTTTCCTCTCTACAAGCTTCGTCTTCCTCCATTGTTCAGTCTTTTAAGGAGTCTCTTGAGGGTAGAGCCTTTGCTCTTTCTGGTAGCTTGGGTTACTTTAATCTTGCTGTCAAGCTCATCAAGATGTTGCTCTCTCGCCATGGGCTGAATGTGTTTGACTGTCTTGCCGAGTTTGAGGATATGGATGTTGTTGCACTGATTCATGTTGATCCAGAATTAAAGAAAACTTATGATCGAGGTACTAGCGTTGTTTTTTTGGATGATTCTCCTAGGGAGGCATCTGAAGGTATTGGTAGCTCCTGGGTCGTGGGAGATTCTACCATAGCTGTCTGTAGCAGGGATAGCTTTGTTGATGCAAAGGTTTCGCAGGGTGCCTCCTCTTCTCCACCTGCGTAGCAAGCCTGTTTTTTATCCTTGAGAACTGAAGATATTATATTTTCCTATTTGCTGTGGACTTGTTGTTTTCGTTTGTCTCGGGTTTTCGTCATGCCTTGCATTATGTCTTTTCATCGAGATTATATATGGACAATATGTTTTCTTATATTCTGAAATTTGCATTAACCTCTGTAGCACATCTTGCATAGCTTTTTTCAGGGTATTTATGTACACCCAAAACTTGCTCGCCGCCTTTTGCTTGCGTAACTTTTGCTTGGGTGTTTATGTACACCCAAACTTGCTCACAGCTTTTGCTTGTCTAACTTTTGCTTGGGTATTTTATGTACACCCAAACTTGTTCATAGCTTTCGTTTGCCTGTGTAACTTTGGCTTGGGTATTTTATGTACACCCAAACTTGTTCATAGCTTTCGTTTGCCTGTGTAACTTTGGCTTGGGTATTTTATGTACACCCAAACTTGCTCACAGGTTTTTGCTTATGTAACTTTTGCTTGGGTATTTTATATACACCCAAATTTGCTCACAGCTTCTGCTTGCTTGTGTAACTTTTGCATGGGTATTTTATGTACACCCAAACTTGCTCACAGCTTTTTGCCTATGTAACTTTTTCTTGGGTATTTTATCTATACCCAAACTTGCTCACAGCTTTTGCTTGCATGTGTAACTTTTGCTTAGGTATTTTACGTACACCCAAACTTGCTCATAGCTTTTTGCCTATGTAACTTTTGCTTGGGTATTTTATGTACACCCAAACTTGCTCACAGCTTTTT